CTCATAGCCAATAATTTATTAATTTTTTCATTTTAACTATAAATATACATTGCGAGCAATTTGTTAATAACAATTTTAACTTCTTAATAACAATAGATGTACTTATCTTTAAACTTTTAGTAAATTATTTTTACATTTTATCATACTTTCGTCATAAGTAACAGCAATAAACAGTAATTTATTAATTTTTGGACCTTTATTATATATTTTTATTACGAACAATTTGTTGTTAACAATAATTTGTACATTTATATATTTTTGTTAACGATAATTTATACATTTTTTATAAATTATATCTACATTTTTACTTTCATAGTATAAATTACCAATATACGCATATGTGTGTCAAAATATTTTTATTGTCCCTGCATTTTTGGCTAAAATGACGTATTAAACAAAAAGTAAATACGTTTAATTCAGTCGCATCTTAAAAATTTAATTGGAGTTAATTTTTTTATATGTTTATATTGAAAAGTCATTCGTATTTATGTATCGAATAACAAAATTATTTCTAATTACAAGTGATTTACAAAAATTTCCCATAATTTTGCGATTAGTATAAATAAGTACGTGACATCATATACGCCTTATTTCCATGAAAAATGAGTACTGGATGATAATTTTGGTGTGGATTATGAGTGACTACGCCCCTGACGAAGCGGGATGCGGGAAAAATGGCTGCGTGGCGGCAAAATTCCGATTACGCGTTCCCTATATATATTTTATCATCCTGTCGATACTAATCGTCATTTTAATATTTTTTCTATATTTCTTTTTCTTCAGAAAAGTCTACAGAATACGCCACTGTATACCAAATTCGTGTCAGATGTATAACTTTTCATAAAAATGCAAAAATACGCGTAAAAAGTACATTCGTAGGCTTATTTTCAAACTTTGATGACCAATTACTATTATCCATAACCCTAAATAATTATAATTATGCACATTGACAAACTCGGGATACTCTCACCTAACTTTCAATCCAACAACGAACCTTCTGTCTTTCTTACTTTTCGCGTAATACTTAATTTAACCCTTTACGCTCGACGATTTTTTGGCTAAAGAAGGGTGCGAGTCGAAAAATTTTCTGTTATAGAGCTGATGATATTTTTAAAGCAGTAAGTAAGGAATCATATAATAACTAACACGTAGAATTGTTTAATTTCGATACCTCGCATCCAGTTACATTATTTTAAATTTGATATATTAATTAATATCGAGCTTCGAAATTTTATCAAACGGTGACTGAAGGGTGCCTCTCGAGTGCAAAGGGTCAACCAAAAATCGTGCTTTTGTAGAAAATCCTCCATTTTTCAAAAACTCTAACTATTCTAAGAACTGTTCTAAATTCTAACTGAGCAATTTCCATTACTCGATTCTTGTTCAGTAAAGTAAACTTTATAAGAATCACCTAATGGATACTACAGATTATAGGAGAAGTTAGAATTTGTTACACAGAGTAGTTGGAAATCTGCTGGAAATAATTCAGAATTAATTGAAGATTGGCGCAGGCGCAATTACGGAGCCACAATTCTCTGTGGGAAAAAATGAAGGAATTTATACGTTCGAGGGCGAAAAGCGCGATATACCAGGCGTCACTGGTCGGAGAAAAAATGGCGACAAACGCTAATGAAATACGAGGAGTATAAATTATTCGCAGAGTTATATTTTCAAAGGCGGGAGACTGCATTTGTTGGGCTGTGTGCATGATGTTCGGGACTTATCTCGAGAAATTCCTATAAATACACCGGCTCTTCTCTTCTGCTGCACGAACGGCCACGAGCAAGGCGCTCCTGCCTGGATTTCCGGGACGATACTTTAAACGGGAAAGCAGAAAGGTGGCATCCTAATTCCGAGTTACGATGGCGATTCCCTCGAGGCCGTTCTCTCGGCCGTAACGGTGAACGATCGTCCATTTAAATCGTCTGTATCGCGATTTATTGCTCCTTGCTCCCGGTTCTACGTCATGCGGTTTTCTTTCGGGGACGTTACCGTAATTGCTTATGCCCGGGCATTTCTTCGCTTTTCTCTCTTTCCCACCCCGGCAAGTGGTTTCCGCGAAATCCAGTTGCAAGGTAGAGCACTTTCGTTGCAAATGTGGATCAAGAATTTGCTGGGGGCAAGGGTACGGGAGAAAACGCCACGATGTCTGGGTTGCAGCTCATGCTTGTTGTACGTCTATGGAGATTGTGGTATAATATACCATAGCGCAGGGTTTGAAATTTGCGAATTTTTTGTCCTTTTGTTTCGCGTGTTCTAGTCTAATCTGATTATTTTTCTCGAGCTAATTTTTGATTGTTTTGTTTGTATTTTTATTAATTTCATTGTGAGGCTTAAGAATAATTTTCCTTGGTATTTTTATTAATTGTAATTGTAAGAATTATTCGATATATTATAATTGTGGTAGTATATATTGAAATGTATAATAACGAATGCATGAAAATAAAAATGGTTGAAAATATATTATGAGCTGTGCTCTTCGCGTTGAAGAGCACGGAATTATTCTCTGGATTAAGGGAGGAAAGGGATAAGGGATGATGGCATTTTCGTCCGTGGTCTGCTAGAGAACTCGACAGTAAAGTTGTCTAGCAGAGCTATGTCTCAGACACGGGATATTATAGAAAAATTAGGAACTTCCATTTATAGGACATTGAGAATTCTTTGACTCGCCTGTGTAAATCTCAATCATCCCAAAATCCCTCTGGTGGAGAATGCGCGAACTGCGGTATCGTCACAGTTAATTACCTTTTGATCGTTTTGTTTCTTATAACGAATGTATGAAAATAAAAATGATCTAAAATATGTTGTGAAGTGTGCTCTATCTTCGCATTGAAGAGCACGAGATTATTCTCTGGATTAAGGGAGGAAAAGGATAAGGGATGATGGCATTTTCGTCCAGGGTCTGCTAGAGGACTCCTTAATAAATTCATCTAGCAGATCCATGCCCCAAACACGAGATATTATAGAAAAATCAGTAATTTCCATTTATAGGACACGAAGAATTCATTCGCTCGCTTGTTTAAATCTCAATCATCCCTCTGGCGGAGAATGCGCGAACTACGGGGTCGCCATAATTAATTACTTTCTATCGTTTTGTTTCATGCACGAGGCCTCAAATCTAATCTTTCTTGGTACTTTTTAATAGTAATTATAATAATTATTCGATATATTATGATAATAGTAGTATGGAAATATGTATATGTAAAGAATTTTGATTTTTAATTTTTAGCGAATAGAAAATACGTTCAAACCTCGATTTCTAGGGTCAGACATAAGAAGTTAAGACTCGAGGCTTACGAAACTGGTTTAGGGGTATACTGCTTGCATTCATGCTACAAGAATAGGCTTCACACACGTAGAATGGAGTCGACCCGCTGCGGTTTCGATTTTTAAAGATCATTACGATAAGGAAACTACCCCTAACAGATGTAATAGACTCATACAAGCCGTCATTGAATTATTTCCTCCATTTTCTACCTTCGGAAGTGCAATAATTCAATTTTAAAATAATTTCCAGGAGTTACTTCTACTATAATATATTAGATTAATTTAAATTCATATCACTTCTCCTTGTATCCTCGCGCTAATTGCATCGAGCATTGACCAATTGATTAATGAGTAATGGCCATGTGACAAGTCGATATTTCCTCGAGTCGAAGTTGTCATTCTATCAAATGGGACCTGCCTATCGGCAAAAATTACCATGATTTGCACGCGATGCGAAATAACCTCGAACATTTCATCTTCTCTATATAAATGAATGAAGCATGTACACTATCTATCTTGAATTAATCAACGAGTAAAAGTCGAAGACCGATGATACGATCGGTGGTTTGCGTGCGTTGAGAAAATCGTTTGTAATAATAAGAAATTCAAACTTGTTCGTACCTGGGATAAGAGAAGTCCAACAGCAAGATCAGGTTCGAGACCCAGTTCTATCTGTCATTCGGAACCAGATGTTCGCTGGGGGTATAAGGGCTGGGTCGATATAAATATTATCCCTTCGTACTTCACTCGACCTGACGTGCATAATGCCAGCAGCACAAATTACCTAGCCAAGCGTCTTTTATCTTCGTTCAATGATAAATGAAATTTGGAATTTTACGTCTGACCTGATTTTTCTTCTTCTTGGTCGAGAACCTGTTGAAGGGGCCTAGAAAAGGGGTTGGACGACAGTGGTCTACTTATGGTTATGATAATAATATTTTAAGGGAAGAGTACATATCGTATTCTGTCTTTGAAAATGTTTGAAAAATTAAAATAAATATTGCAACGAAGGTGAACAATTTTTTTTACTCGAATTGATACTTATTTTTTAGATTATATTATTTATAGTGGCAGAAGATTTTAAAAATTTTAACGATTTTAACGAGTTTGGAAATTTTAATTATTAAATAAAACTTTTGTAATTTTACGTTATCGGAATTTATATCGTATTTTGCCTTTTAAAATGCTTGAAAAATTAAAATAAATATCACAGTGAAGGTGAAAGGTCTGTTTATTCGAATTAATACTTATCTTTTAACTTGTATTATTTATAGTGCTAGGAGGTTTTACCAAATTTTAATTATTAAATAAAACTTTTATAGTTTTACGTTATTAAAATTTATATCGTATTTTGCCTTTTAAAATGTTTGAAAAATTGAAATAAATATCGCAACGAAGGTGGAAGATCATTTTACTCGAATTGATACTTATTATTTAAATAATATTATTTGTAGCGCCGGAAGATTTGAACAAATTTTAAATAATAAACGAAACTTTCGTAATTTTATATTATTGGAATTTATATCGTATTTTGCTTTTCAAAATGTTTGAAAAATTAAAATAAATATCGCAGCGAAGGTGAAAAGTCTTTTTACTCGAATTAATATTTATATTTAAATTATATTATTTATAGCATCCGATGATTTGACCAAATTTTGACTATTAAATGAAACTTTTGTAATTTTATATTACCAGAGTTTATACTAAAACAAATTTTATTTGTCACTTTCCAGGAGGAATCTCCAAGATTGCTGTTCCCCAATTATCATCAGCCTATCGTGAAACCTGGTGGCCCAGTCGCTAGAATATACCCATTTAAGTATAGAAAACAGACTTGTACGCAAGATAGATTCATAAGGACTAACTTTAACATGGATGCTGCGAGTTATCTTCTAACTAAAAAGATCAAGAAGCCGTTAAAAGAAAACGAACTCGACGTGTTTCACCAGGTAAGTTAATCTATGCCTGATTACTTCAAGCTATACAGGATTAAGTTATTAGTTCCACGTAGCGTTGCTTGAGATTTTGAAAAATCGCACGAAGTTGTCTCCCGGATATGAAATTAACCCTTTATCAAAATTCATCGATTTCTTCGTCGATGAATCCTTCCGGTGTGAGGGCGACGAGGGGGAGGGGGGCAGAACTTGTTTGCAGTGTTACCCGGGATTGCACGATTGCGATGATATTAACGTTTTACAAGAGTTGCAGAAGATTGCATCTTTGGAAAATTTTTCGAACAGTAGTTGACATCAGCTTTGTTGCAACGTCATGTGTCGAATTAGCATAAAGGCCGTCGGGGAAGCGATTTACAGCGCGGAAATTACTATTCTCAGACGCCAGGGAAATAGTTGGAGTTTCGCGACGATAAAAAGGGTCGTAGGAAAAAATAAAGGACATCCTCCTTCTCCTGTCATGATCGTCTAAGTATCGAACTAGCCCCCGTAATATGTAAGGACTTCCAACAGGTAATTTCGCGGATGAATATTTATTAGAACGCATCGCCTAAGCTGCCAATAGGATTTAATACGGCCAAATGCTTCGCGCCAATGTGGCATACAAATTTGATAGTGTAGAGACGGAATGTAGTTGATATACATATTTATTTATTAACAAATTAGTAGTGATGGAGTATGTGAGTAACGATAAAGATACGAGTTACTAAAACGTAAGATACGAATTATTATCACAACCCTCAACAACTCTCAACATTTCTGCAACAACTCTCCTATTACAACTCACAATTAGCAACAACAACAACTCTGGCAATTAACAACTGTTCTGTTACAACTCTCAACTCGATAACAACCCTAAACTAACTTCGACAACTATACTATTCATAACTCTCTTTCGACAACTCTCCCTTGACTTAGAACGTCCTTGTCCTTTTATGTTCTTCTTCCCACCATGCACACCCTGCACGCGTTTTCCAATGCCTCCCCTAGCATGATCAAGTATGGTTGTGGTATGAGCCTAATTTATTATTAATAAATAATTCTATATACCACCACCAATCCCATCTCTACAGTATTGACAACTCTGCTCTCTTCGACAACTCTTTAATCCACAACTCTTTCATGACTTAGAACGTCCTTGTCCTTTTATGTTCTTCTTCCCACCATGCACACCCTGCACGCGTTTTCCAATGCCTCCCCTAGCATGATCAAGTATGGTTGTGGTATGAGCCTAATTTATTATTAATAAATAATTCTATATACCACCACCAATCCCATCTCTACAGTATTGACAACTCTGCTCTCTTCGACAACTCTTTAATCCACAACTCTTTCATGACTTAGAACGTCCTTGTCCTTTTATGTTCTTCTTCCCACCATGCACACCCTGCACGCGTTTTCCAATGCCTCCCCTAGCATGATCAAGTATGGTTGTGGTATGAGCCTAATTTATTATTAATAAATAATTCTATATACCACCACCAATCCCATCTCTACAGTATTGACAACTCTGCTCTCTTCGACAACTCTTTAATCCACAACTCTCCCATGGCTTAGAACGTTCTTGTCCTTTTATGTTCGTCTTCCCACCATGCACACCCTGCACGCGTTTTCCAATGCCTCCCCCAGCATGACCAAATATAGTCGTGCTAAGGGCCTGATGCATCGCCCTGGGTTTTCCAGACTGACCTGGCCTCTGAACCCTCGATGACTTTCGTAAAGCTACGTGTACTACATGCAGTGGAAAACTTGCGATATCGTAATATTAGTTAGCGAGTTAAATTAGTATCGTAATATTAGAATAGTATCGTGTACTGATATTTCTCCACTGAAGCTTCATTCGCATTCACGAGGGTGGAATTTGATATTTTTTCCGGATATTTGAAACTAAATTTCTTTTATATATCTATATATTTTATTGAAATTAAATGACACTGTATTTTCATCTATATTACTCTAATACTTTATTACTAATAATTTGATTCTTGTTGTACAAACGCTCTATATAACTTGTTCTATCTGCAACTAACGCAACTGAGGACTGAGTACTAACTTATTGCTGAAAATCTTCATATATATATACACATTGCTCTTCCCACTCCTGTGAGTTTGTTGTATAACAATTATATATTTATTATAAATTATATTATACACACGTCTTATATCCTAACAGTTCACTCTCACGATTTTTACAACAAACTGAACCACCTCTCAACATATATACATATAATTGCCTACGTATTTTTATTTATAATTATTGGTACTTTATTTGAAAAATATATACACGAATATATGTATTTAAATTGAATATATTTTAATTATAATTAAGCACTACGAGTATTTTTAAGTTTTGATTATCGCAATAATTTTATTGATTTTTGGTAAGGGTACGTAAACGCTGTTAGTCGTGGATATTATATTTAAAAATTATCGATGAAATGCATCTAATTGGATTTACCCTTTCTCACGATACTCGTACACGCATTTACTCTCATTGAATTACGAATTGCATCTAATTTATCCAATTATTCTTTCATTTATTCTCTTTTCTTTCATACATCGCAGAAATATGCACAGTCTACAACACACTTCATGCATTGCACGTATGCTCGATCCACTCATCCCTTCTTACAGACATTTATTTTTACGTTAATATATATATATCTCAAAAATCTGTCAGCCATTACCACGAATATAAGATTTAATAATAACCGGTGAAAAATTTTAATGCGATATCAATTTATCGCGCGATAAATTAACGATAATAATCTGACAAAATAAAATCATAACAGACATTTCCACCCATAATTTGCTATATTATAATATCGCAATATTAATCCTGCGTAAGATAAACCACTATGCCGTCCACGTAAAATAAAATCAGCGCAGATATACCAAGCTCGATTTCGCGCATAATGTTAACTGGCAAATTTTCTTACTTCAATTTTAAACTGCCATAATATAAGTAATGACAACGCGAGGTAAAATAATTTCAAATAGTTGCATGCACAATTTTGTAATTAGATTGCATCCTGTTGGTAACGGCCAAATATCCGGGTAATTTTAACATGAAATTGCACGGAGGACGTATTTTACAACTTCGATGCTTCAAGTCTTTTGAACCGTGGATACAATGTATGATCATTATGAAAAGCTGCTTTACGAGTTGTCCTCGGTGAAGCAACCTTTATAATAATTTAACGTATGAAAATTTATTACATTCGAAGAAAATTACTCGACGCAGCGTTTCTTTCGACTATCGTATCTTAAGTTATTTGCTAACGTTTTGCATATCGGACTACAGTTAGGCTTAAGCAATCACAGAATACTTGCGCACTTACTGCCATCATCGATTCATTGCCAATTAAATCCAGTGCAACGATTTCAATTTCGATCCTTTCTTTATTTTCCATGCATGCAACTGCAACCATCTTCGACAAACAGATCAAGCATGTTCTTTATCACGCGAAAAAAGAAAATGTCTCGCGAATTAATTATCCCATCTCTGATTTAATTACACTCGCTATATTCGTTACGACCGTATTTGAACAAGCGAGGAGAAAAACAGGGAACATCCATTTTGGGGCTACGGAATCATTCCATTCTTTTTTGATACTTCACCGATACTGGAACTGGATCTGTGATATACACCTAAGTATGTGTAAATGACATTAATCCTTTGCACTCGACGATTTTTTGGCTAAAGAAGAGTAGAAGTTCAAAGATTTTCTGCTATAAAGTCGTCGATATTTTTTTTGAGCAATAAATAAGGAATGGTATAATAATTGTCACGTAGAATTATTTGATTTCGATACCTAGCACGGTGTTATATTATCTTAAATTTGAGATGTTAATTAATAGCGAGCTTCGAAATTTTATCAAATGGCGACTGAGGGGTGCCTCTCACTATTATGATGGCGATGAATAACAGGTACTGCAACCTTCAATAAACAATAGAGTTGAATAAAAATTCGTAAAATACGAAAACAGTGAAATTTTATTAAATATGGTTCCAATATTTATTTCATCCTTTGCACTCGAGGGGCGCTCTTCAGTCGCCATTTAATAAAATTTCGAAGCTCCATGTTAATTAATATATCAAATTTAAGATAATGTAACGGTGTGCGAGGTATCGAAATCAAGTAATTCTTTGTGTCAATTATTGCACTATTCCTTATTTACTGCACAAAAAAATAAAAATTTTCGAACTCCTATTTCTGTTTAGCCAAAAAATCGTCGAATGCAAAAGGTTAACACGCAGAATTATTTGACTGTACAGAGATTCAAAGAAGAATCTTCTGTCTTAACTAAAATCATTGTAAATTTAATCCCAAAAACTTTCAATTAATTTAAAAGAAAAAAATGAAATATTTGCTCGAACAGAATTCTGAAAATATTATAGAAAATAGAGTATTCGTTCGCGAGTTAATTAAAATTGCTAAATATTTCAATTTAGCCAATTTTATAGAATCAAATCAAATCTAATATAAATAAATTCCTCATCTCCGATCAAAGTAGAATATTATAATTTATTATTAGAAATATTGAGGGAAGTTTGGGGATGAACAGAGATTCAAAGAAGAATCTTTTATCTTAATTAAGGACGTTGTAGATTTATTCCCAAAGACTTTCAATTAATTTAAAAAGAAAAATGAAATTCTTGCTCGAATATAATTCCGAAAATATTATAGAAAATAGAGTATTCGTCCGCGAGTTAATTAAAATTGCTAAACATTTCAATTTATCCGATTTCATAAAATAAAATCAAGTTTAATATAAATAAATTCCCTACCTCCGATCAAAGTGAAATATTTAACCTGGGAATTGTTCGGAAACTCTAAAGAAAGAGATCTTTACTAACTTATCTAGATAATTTAGAGTAAACTCGTACCATAAACTTTTATCCGATAATTTGCGAATTTTCAGAATTATAAAGTAGTTCGCGGTGGATATCAAGCGTGGAATGAAATCGGTAAATTAGAATATTGATAAAACGGTTAAAATGTAAATTCAAGGAGGTCAATATGTATCTTTTTATTATCACGTTACGTGTGGCGTAGTTCCGTTACTGTTGCGAAACGAGATCATTATCGCGTCATTAAGTCTTCGTAAGCAACCGATGAATGTGTTATAAACGAACGTCGCGACGAACCACGATGTCGAATTGATCGTTAGTGGGTCCGATTGTTCGTGTTTAAAGACCTAATCGATCGATCGTAATTACCTCGCGAGCGATAAATCTATTTCTAATTAAGATCGTGACGCCTCGGGAAAATAAGGAATCGAGCACTTATTACACACACACACACACACGTAGCTACACTCGATACAGCGCAACGTTGATCCATTTTGTACCCAACTCCGAGATTTGCATTTTATTACTGCAATTTTCATTCGAACTTGTTCGAACGATATAAAGCTGTTCTCTGAAATTGTAGTTAATCACGTCCTGTTGCTAGCCACGTAATAATACTCGCACTAGGTTAACCATGGAGGAATTTTTAGCAACCACCACTGACATTCAGAATTTTTACGAATTTTCTGAACTCGACTTTATTTGTATAAATCCAAATGTAAATTCTAAGAAATAATTAGATTTGTGTATCCCCTAATTTAGAAAGAAATTAGGGGACACACAAATCTAATTTAGAAGGAAATTAGGGGACACGCAAATCTAATTATTTCTCTCAACAAATTACGATAATAAAATAAGAAACGAAGGAAAAATTCGAAATTCGGTGGAAATATTTATGGAAATGTTTCCAAATATCGGCGAATTTTTAGAACGTTTCACGTCCCAGTGAAATTCCATTCCGAAAGACCCACGGTAGATTTTATTTGCACAAAGAGGGAAAAGAGAATATAGAAATTGACACAGGCACACGGTGCAAATTTTTCTCTGTCAACTGTCGCTTGAGCCACTAAACCCTGACAAACGGCACAGGTGGACTCTCTGCCGGTTAAATGGCGAAAGAAATTTATGCACCAATTAATGGTGCAAGAAAACGTAATACCAGGGGTGAGACAGAAACAAGTGCTGCGCTCCAGCCACTTATCCTTGGAAAACAAGTTGCCTGGAAACTTAGCAGGCCGGCCTAAAGAGCTGTTGGACGAGGAGTACTTGGAAGATGGAATGTGGAAATCGAAGCCACGAAAGAGGCCTTTAATAGGCATTATAGACGCCCTATTAGATATGCCTGGATTCCCTAAGACGTCACGTAAGAATTTCATAATGTATCTAGAATGTTTTACTCGGCGTACGAGCCGCCATCGCGAAACGCGAGCTCTTTTTCTTTGGTCGTCTATCTCAGCGTTCACCACGTTCTCTTTTGCGGTATTTAGAGAGAAAATTGTAACCCATCCTTCGATTCTCGCGCAGAAATTCGATACTTTGATTAACACAGATTATTTCGCCATTTTCGAATTATCCGCAGCAGTTTCTGCCTTTATTTCTCGATTCATGGATCTCGTTTGATAATAATTTATTCGGAGATATTAAATGATATTTAAATCTGGTAATGTGAAATATTCGATTGGGATATTAACCCCTTGGCTACTATGGGCGCCCATGGGCGCTTAGAAATTTTGCATTTGTGGCACGGAGGGCGCCTATGGGAGCTTAGAAATTTTGCATTTGTGGCACGGAGGGCGCCTATGGGCGTTTAGAAATTTTGCGTTTGACACATAGGCGTCTATAGACGCTTAAAAATTTTGCATTTGTGGCACATAGGGCGTCTATAGGCGCTTAGAAATTTAGCTTTCTGACACGGAGGGCGCTTGTTTTCACAAAAATGGCGCATATCGTATCTCAATTCCTGCCGTATAGTACGACCTCTACGTATCAAAATCTGCCGTAGTCAAGGGGTTAAAGAAAATATATATTTAAATTTTTGTGATTGGATCATAGGTACGTTTTAATTATTTTTCAATGTCCCTAAATTACGAAAATTTATGGACCCCGCTTGAGGATGATTTATAGATTGGAATATTCCATATTACTCGATTGAATGATGGGTCGTCTTCAATTATTTCCAAATTCGCGTGTTAGTGAGCTGTGTGTATTATTTTTCATTGAATATTAACCCCTTTGCACTGGACGATTATTTCGTTACAGGAAAATAGTACTTCGAAGAATTTCTGCCATAAAATCGCCGATATTTTTAAAGCTTTTCTTAAAAATAAGAAATCGTATGAAAATTAAGACGTAGAATTATTTTACTTCGATATTGCACGCATCCTTGCGTAATTGTAAATTTGATATATTAATTAGGCGACTGAGAGGCGCCTCTCGAGTGCAAAGGGTTAATAGTAAATAAAACGAAAATACTTGAATTGGAATTAGAGCATACGCGTAGTGTAGAATTGTTCGTGTTTTATTTTTGGAAAAAGCTTTTGCATGGGCTTATTTTTTCTGTTTTTTTTTTTGCAATAGGGTTTCCTCAGCGATTTATCGATTGGGGAGCGGGGAACGTAATCGCAGCAGCGATATACGATCGGGTGGCATTTTACGATACAAAGACTGATGTCGTAGAACCGAAGAATAGCATGAAAGTGCCTGATCTCTGCGCATTGAAATGGAACCACGCTGGTAGGTTTACGTGGTATGGAATTTTACGAAGTACCTTAAAAGCTAGAGACACTTTAAAGTCACTGGAAAAATATAAAATCAACTTATTATATTCAATTTCTCCGATCATTATCAACGATTCTTCTCGAGCACATAATAATGATAATTTCGATTAAAAATATTTTTATTTTTACACCGGTTACGAATTTTAATTAACACGTTGACTGCCGCACGCATTTTACGTGGTTTGCCTATGATGCCAACATGAATGTATTATTATGCGATGCATATTATGTTGAAATATTATTTACAGCAGATAAAATCAATTATATAATTGTATTTAATATATTTTTCGTAGTGGGGGTCACCGGTGGCCCCCACGGCGCTGTAGCCAAATCGAGTGTCGCACACCGATGACCCCCACGGCAGTCAACGCGTTAATAATATTTCCAATTTCAACCATTAATATCCTCTTCTTAATTTCTCCGTATTTTTAATTTCAATTGCAGCACCAAAGTTACATGCCCAGTTAAGTTCCAACCGCACCCCCCTCACTCCAAGCGCAGAAATCACAGCCACCCCTGAATATTCCGATTTAAAGCCTTACTATTCTTCTCCTTCTTTCGTCCTATTTTTCTATAGGGAAAATTAATCAGACGATGCTTACGTCTTTTTACGAACGTGTGTTCATTCTCTGTATTTATTCTCGAATAAATGCCCCCGAGTCAAGGGGACAATGGTTTACTTCCTTATTACCAGTGTTCCACGATTGGCGGACACTTGGGTCACCTAAACATCACTTGGACTAATTCCTAACAAAAGATTACAAATCCCAATTAGCACAAGTGCATCGGAGCTTTCACCTCCGAAAGACACCGAGGCGCCATATTAAGTATAGTATATTCGAGAAAAGAAGGCACAGCGTGTTAACTTACATCCTCAGGACTAATTAATTCCGCTGACACTGCCATGACCACAGACAATGACCGAGATCAAATGACGAAGATCATCAGTCACCGTTTTCAGGCAATAGAGGTCACTGCCTGTGATCAAGGGAGTATTAACGGAATTAAGTAACCGTGCCTTCTTTTCTCGAACGCACAGTATCATCTATGAGTCCAAATAAATTTGTTATCGTTAATAAAGAATAGTCTATTCCTCCTAAAAACTTCAAACCCTGATCTATGGGGGATTTAAATCGAAGTAATCCCCCGCAATAATGTGAATATTAATAGTTAACCTATATAAATTAGAATAGCTATAGCACTTCAATGGGGTTTGAACTCTTCATTCGTGCAAAACTATTAGTTCACGATATTAGTCGAAAATGTTGAAACAATTGATTAATTCATTCAAAGACCTATACAAATTAGAGTAGTCATAGCAGTTCAATAGGTTTTGATCCTACAATCATGCCTAAATACCGAGTGCTCCGAGTCAATGGACATTCTGTTTCCTTTTTACCAACGTCCTATGACTCGTGGACACTTGGATCACCTTGACTACTACCACTTGGACTAGAACCTAATAAGTATACTCATTCGCTCAATCTCAATTTCTTACCATACTCACAAAACTCATGCTCAAAGACTGCCATCTCAAGATTCCCTCTATACAACTCTCTTCCTATGACTATTTAGTCTCTCCACAACAACTACTCTTCTTCTCTTCTCTCACACCCTGTATACCCTTACACATTCATCCCCTTTCACTCTAATTTTCCTCTCTCACTCCATTCATTTTCTCAAACTCACCCAAAATTCCTCAGTCATAAATAGTCTCCTTCGGCGCGCACTCACAGGTATTAGCCTAAGCTGTGCATTTATTCTTTTACAATCATGTCTCAAAGACCCTTCGCATTCTCTCAGGCCCGTACCTATTCCAATCCCGCATTATCGTTTTGCTCGCAGGTAACAAGCTGCTCATATGCACTCTATCATCGGAACAGAACCTGTACTGTTCCGACACGCGCAAGATAATTTGGTCGCAAATGTGCGTGTGCACAGAGAAGTACTATACATCGTGCAACGTGCGTTGCGCTTGCTGGACTAAGGACGACCGATTCCTGATCACGTGAGTAACAATCCTGCGAATAAAGCCGAATGAACGAGTGGAAAGAAATCGATTGCTGCTTATCACTCGCATCGGCAAACGACGTTACCTCGCAATAGCTCTAATAAGACTCCGTATCGCGCTGTGATAAATGTCATCGATGTACCGGCCTCGGTCGTTCGTGTATCATACGCGTGCATCAAGGAAAATTGCTTTTAATCGACGCGTTATGCCGATTCCACGCCTCGTGAACGCATATTACGTACTCGAATAAGATCGATTAGGAGGCGTACAAACGCGTTTTAATCGAGTTCTTGTCTCTAGATCACCTGATCGGATTGAGATATCTTATTAAGTGAATTCGAAATAAGATAATGTTTTGTGCAGCACACGCTGCCACCCGATAAGCGTCAAATTGGCTTCAGGCGATTTTTCATTTGCAGAATATTTTTCTTTTAATCAACCGGAGATCGAAAGACACGTGGTTCATTTGATTATGACGAACGAGGCTTTCGATACTCGCATGATTGAATAGCACGTTAACCACTTGCGCCATAAAGACGTGCCACGCACGTCGAGATGCTTTTGTTCCAAAGCCGCCAGCAACGTGTATACCACGTCTTACCGTATGTTATATTGTAGAGCGCGGCATTTAACTGAAAGTTAAATCGTAGCGCAAGTGGTTAACACAACTATGGCAACCTAAACGCGAATTTTCAAAATTTCGATTAAAAATTCCACCTTTTCACTTCGATTACTCGATTTTTCGATTTTTCTTCCGATACGCTGATAATTAATTTTTCTATATTTTCTTTTTACCCCCCCCCTTTTTTTAATTTTGGTTATTTTGGTGGGGGTCTTTTTTTATTTTTTCATTTCATTTTTCGATCATTTGACCGGTCGTGGTAGGTTTAATGTTAGATCGATTTGGTCGCAGTGGTTGCACAGGCCAAATCGTGGTTTACTCGGGGAGCAGTGGCAGGATCGTTAACTCGATCGAGGCTCATAATATGTCGCTCCTGACGATCGCACTTTCATCGACCGATCGATACCTCGCGTCTTCGTCGTTCGACAAGAGTGTCCGGATTTTCGAGTGGCCAAGTCTGTGTCCTTATTTGGACATCACTTATTACGAATATGTCGTGGTAAGTCGATTTCTTATTTTCATACTGACACTCCTGTTTCAGCCTTTTAAGTAATAATACCGCTTTCATCCTTGATCGACGAATTTTGACGGATTATCATACTGAATGCTATATTTTAAATTCAAATTTATTTAGTTCGCAATTAAACTTTACGTTTTGTACGCTGCCGGCCAAAATTTTCGGTATACAGCAACCGGATTTGTAGTCCACACTTAAATCCCAATTGCGAGGTTGAATATTTCACCATATTTTAATCCTTACACATTGTTTTTATGATCTCACTATTACCAGGAGGAAGATTCATAGCTTCCTCCCAAAAAATAAACTGTTGGATATAGAAGTTAGAAAACACTGTTCGGAAGAAAATTTATGGAGGATTTTGCAAAACAGTTGGGAAAATATTAGTTAGCGAAAATTAGTTTCGAAAATGCCTAAATTATGTAAAATATTGATTCAGAAAAACGGTGGTTATTTTGACGAACATTTCCATAGAAGATATTTTCGCTGTTATAATTTGCTATGTAAGAAAATAACGGACGAACCTATTGTGCCAATCGTTGACAGATGGGCCTTAGTCCAGCGGGGCCTCATCGGCTACTGGCATCGGATCGCGATAAATCCTCGATCATTTCATAAACGATCGAAAACCAAAACCATCGAATAGGCGAAGTTTCCACGCGTGACGAATCATCAGTAGTTATCAAAAACCTTCGAGCAGTAAATAGGAAATCCGAATATGAACTAAATCTTTTTCGAAACAAGACACATTTAAATTTTTGACCTTTATTTTTTGGCCTTTGTGTCACTCTTACGACACCCTTTACAATATTGCATTTCAAATAAAAATTAAGAAGTATTTCACATATTAACCCTTTGCACTCGATGATTTTTTGGCTAGAGAAGAGTAGAAAATCAAAGATTGTGTATTAAAAAACTAACGATACTTTTTTGAGCAGTAAATAAAGAATTGTAGAATTATTTGACTTCGATACTTCGCATACTGTTACATTACATTAAATTTGATATATTAATTAATATCGATCTTCCAAATTTTATGAAATGGTGCACACCTCTCGAGTGCAAAGGATTAATACATATACCCAAACTTTTGGCTGGTACTGTACATTCTCTTATTATACAAGTTAATTCCTCAAGCTCTATACAGTCTTACTCTATGTATCATCCTACTAATTGTCAATTTACAAATACCTAATCGACCCTACATCTTTCCAAAGATCTAAATATTCCAACACTATATTCATCGTAAAACGTTCCATCTCAAAAATACTTAAGTCTGTACTCTATAGCATCCATAGTATGAAAGAATAATTAGAGAAAGTCTCCCAGTCAAATCCAAAATTGGTCAATCTTTACCATCGTCCTCTATGAACCTCCACCTGGACTGATCGCGAAGATGCGATCTCCCACAAGATTCTGGAAACCTCGTAAACCCCATCCTCCCACGCAGTAACGTATCGATGCTGTCTCCGACCCCGAGGATCCGAAACATAGAACCTAAAGGTTTCTCGACGACACGTTTCAGGCTCTAGCCTGGCACCCGTTCGAAAGCGGCCTGTTGTGCATAGGCGGTGGCCTCGGTGACGGTTCGCTGTCGCTGTGGAACATGAACAAGCTAAAGTCCGTGAATTATCGTCACGTGCAATTTTGCGGTGTCGTCAATAACATGATTTGGAACAAGCTGAGCGGCGAGCTGGTCGTTCAATGGTCGTACTTGGAAGGCCGCAACCAATACGCCGTGATGCCGGTCTTCGCGAGCCTCGACCGCATTGTGGACGTGGTGCCGATCGACAAGGAGATACCACTACTCAACAGTATCTTGTGGAACCCTGATCATACGCAATTAGGTGCGTGAGAATCGTCTTGTTCGCTTTCAGCCTCGTTCGTACCGAATTGTTATTGCACCGGTGCTGATTGCGAGTGTCGTTGTGCATGAGTCGTAGCAAAGGGTTCGAGGATGTCAGCGTTTAGCAAGGTGAGAACGAGGTCGTCGAGGCTCGTTCGAACTTTGTCTGGTGTGGGACACGAGTTGACACGCGTGTGAAAATCGCTGATCTCGATGGCATTCGTGTTTCGTTTGTGTTAGTCGTGTGACTGTGGTTGTGATCGTGAGTCGCTTAAAATACTTTACTACCTTTTGACAGTGTTACATATGGTGATAAATGGAGATATGGTGTTCTGTGTTTGGTTTGGTATGTTTATATATATGATACGGAGATGAAGAGAGGATGAAGAGTTATTAAATTTAGTAGTTGCATTGTCTAGTGTTTAATACATGTTTAGTAAGTTGTTCGATGAAATATTAACCCTTTGCACCCGAGAGGCGCCCTTCAGTCACCATTTGATAAAATTTCGAAGCTCGAAAATTGACTAATATATGAAATTAGAAATAATGTAAGGGTGTATGAGATATCGGAATTAAATGATTCTACGTTTTAATTATTATACGATTTCTTATTTACTGCTTGAAAAATATCATCAACCTTATGGCAGAAAATTTTTCAACTAGTACTTCAACTTCTTTATCCAAAAAATCATCGAGAACAAAGGGTTAATAATTACGTCGTTGGTGTTCTGGAAATATTATGTTCGTTTGTGGCATTAATTTTGAAAGTTGAATATTTTTCTTGGTACAGGGGGAAGGGTAATTTTCGTCAAGCTGGTTTGTGTGTATTTGTAGAGGTAATTTGTGCACTTTCTTGTCCTGTTCGTGATACTCCTGTATAGTTTGCTTTATGTTGATATTGTGAAATTTCCTTTGTTTCGTGTTCTTGTGAAAATGTTCTCAATTTTGAGACTAAGATGGAAGTTAACGAGACAAAATGTGTTATTGTTTTCTTAGCTGTTCAACACGACGAATCTTTATCGATGTGGAATTTCTTCGGCGACCTGGACCAATACCAGAGAAGTAAAAAACGGCACAAAGCGGAAGAAAAGGAACGAACTAATGCAAGATTCATGAATTTCAAAGAATTCAAGCACTTTAAAATTCGGTAGAGCCGAAATGCCCAAATAAGAAGTTTCATTTTAATTATTTTCGTCGTCTACTTTAAAAATATTGTTTATTATTCTTCGTTGTATCAATTAATGTTTTATTTATTTCTATTTATTTTTATTTATTGTCGCGCGAAACAGTTACGGTTGAATTTTTGGTCTTTGAAGCCATTTCCCTGTTATAAAAATTAAACAGTTCTTATATCTTAATCCAAATATTTTCACACGATGATATACACATCAGTGTTTCTTAACTACGAAAGAGCAAAATAATCGTAGTAAAATGTAAGTAGAATCGGTCATCGACATTATCGGTATTTAATTTAATTAATTTATTTATTTATTTTCTGTAAAAAAGAGAAGGAAATATAAGAACTTGTAATAAAATTGTTTACGCGAGTCTTCCCTCATTTACTTACATAATTTAATCAACGAAACGAGATGATCTCGCGATTATGTACTTTTTATCGAGTAAACCACTTAAGCAGGAACAGTTGAAAAATTAATCTCACATAAAAGCCTCAACTATGAGATCTATATAACTACACTCCATTGAGGCAGGTCGTTGGAAGGAACGGTACAGGCCACTTTAAATTAATTCCGCCAATTAAATTTCAAAAATAACAAGCGAAGGCAATTAGGTGGCCTTCTCGCAACTACCTATCTCCGCTCGTGCGCTCGCCATGTTGTAATTTCGCTAAAAAGAATCTTTCCGATGCCACTTTCATCGTGTACGTTCCTACAGTTTCTTCCAAATACACCGTACAATTCGCCGTATCTTGATCTTCACAGCTTCGTACACGAAGACGTCGAATCCCTCTCCTTGCCGCGCCGCGATCCGCGCGGTTTCCTTGTAACGTCGAATCATTTCCATCGTCGCAAGGGAGAGGACGGATAAAAAGGGGAAGGAAGAATAAAAATGCACGCGAAAGTCGTTTCGCGAGGCGATTATAGCGTGGCAACGATTAAGGACGATTACGGTCGAATCGCGCGCAATTTAAATTTTCCCGGGCCCATTTCGCAGCAGGTTTATCGATCCCCCGGAAGATAAGCCACGGCAGTCTTGTGCTAGAACTGTTAACGACCGTTTCGACTATCATCAAATAGATTTCCACGTTTCGCCACCTTCGGCTATCCCCGGCTGAATTACACGATTATCCGTCGACTACTAATTACACGAGGCAAGGCAAGGGTACGTCGGCCATTTTGCGAGCGGCCATCCCGACAACGCGGCGCAATTATCGTACTGCAAGAGTTCGATGCGTTTCCATCGACAAACATAACCTGTAAAGCTAGTTCTAATTGGCAGCGGGTTTAAAGAAATCAAAAGTTTACCGAGAAACACGAATGGGATGGTTTTGTTTATGGCAGCCATTACTTTCGAGCAGGTGTAGGTATGTTTTAAATTCTGCGGAGCTTCTTTGTCGATGAATCTACTTCCAGATAATCGTTCTTATCCAATGTCTCGATTAAACCAGCAAATCATCGAGATATAATTTAATTTGATGTACTTTATTTATAACGTTGAATGTTCAGTGTTGCTTCAATGCTATACCAGTGTTTCACAATGTGGGTCTTGTGCCCCACATATCGTGTCATTTCGAATATTTTCGTGGTAGTTAGAGAATTCTTAGGAAGTTCACGGTATATACAATTTTTTAACCCTGCATTTCCTTATTTTATTCCAAGCATTAATTTTTTATACGATTCTAATTCTACTTCTCGAATTTTTTAAAATCTCACCAAGGTATTTGGTCAATACCTAACCTTTTATTTTTAACTTCTTCAGGAATATTAATATATATGTGTACATTTAAATTTTTAAAAATTATGATTATTACAAGTGAAAAGAAAATTGGAATTAGTTGAAGAACTATTTCCCATAGAATTCATCAAGAATGAAAATAACCTCGTCGAATATCACCTAATATAATAGTGATTTATTCTACTTTATAATCACTATCTTCAAATCACTGTATCGTTAACCTAAAAGAAAAGTTCGCCCCTGAAGAAGTTAAAATAAATTTCTCCCTCTTTTTGTGAAGCTGTTCAATTTGGTACATGAGTAGCCATCATATATTATACTTCCTCATAATATAATTCAAGCCTTTAGATGATCATTTTCAATCCCTCCCAGCCATCCCTGAATTCACCCCATTCCGCGATACGTAACCACCTTCTTCATATATTATACTTTCTCATGTCGTAATCTAGTATATTATACTAGAAATAATGGGTCCAAATCATTGAAGCCTCTAGATGATTATTCCCAAGTTGTCTCTCATATTTCCTCATCTCAACTATCCCTGAAACCACCTCACTCTGTCACACATAATCACCTTTTCCATATATTATACTTTCTCATAACATAGTCGATTATTTTATTAGGAAGAGGGCTTGCAAATCATTGAAGCGTCAATATAGTCATTTCCAAATCGTTTCTCATATTTCACCAACTCAACCATCCCTGAAACCACCCCACTCTGTCACACAAAATCACCTTTGTCATATATTATACTTTCTCATAACATAGTCGACTATTTTACTAGAAAGAATGCTTGCAAATCATTGAAGCGTCAATATAGTCATTTTCAAATTGTTTTTCATATTTCACTAACTCAACCATCCCTGAATCCACCCCACTCTGTTACACATTATCACCTTTTTCATGTATTATACTTTCTCATAACATAGTCGACTATTTTACTAGAAAGAATGCTTGCAAATCATTGAAGCGTCAATATAGTCATTTTCAAATCGTTTTTCATATTTCACTAACTCAACCATCCCTGAATCCACCCCACTCTGTCACACATTATCGCCTTTTTCATATATTATACTTTTTCATAACATAGTCGATTATTTTACTAGAAAGAATGCTTGCAAATCCTTGAAGCGTCAATATAGTCATTTTCAAATCGTTTTTCATATTTCACTAACTCAACCATCCCCGAATCCACCCCATTTCGCGACACGTAATCACCTTCTTCACCTTCCCCAACCCTCTATTCGGAAAACAGAAAATCGTCGCAGCAGCCAGAGCTCTCGAAACTCGCCTTTCACGGGTCCAGGTGTGCCTGTCCTGTTCTTCGTCGCGGCAACCACTTATGGAAATGGGGATTTCGTTTGGGATTAAACGGTCCGGCAAGGACGCGGTTAATGGTCTCAAATTACCATCCTCGCCCGGGCCCCCTCGCTTAACATAAAGTAACTAGAACAGACGCGGCATTACGGGCTCGCGCTAATGCCACGCTGCTCGCTAATAACAAGCGACTGGGCCCGATGAAAAACCGCGCGACCAGGCCAGTTAGCCGCGTGGGCCAGAGAGAGCCTAAGCGTTCCGCTCGAACCGCGCTCGATCGTGTCCAATCGAACGATAAGTTAATCGATGACGGAAATCAGAGGCAACCGCTTGAATTATCGCCCGCGTAATTTCTTCCCTCCCCTACCGCCTCGCAATTACCGTATCTCTGATTCAACGATAGATCGAACTCACGAGGATGATCAGCGTGATCTGTGAAGGGATCCGTGATGGGGGGCCTGTGTCAAGTTTTACGATTCAGTCTCCGGTTAGATTTTCGATCTAGCACGGAGGATCTTGAATTTTCGCGAGGTAATCCGAGCAAGGGTTGTTTCATCTGGTTTTCACGAGGAATTAACCCTTTGCACTAGGGAAGCATAGTAATTTAAAGACTTTCTGCTATAAAGTCGACGATGTATTCAAAACGGTAAATAAGAAGTGCAAATTAATTGTAAGACGTAGAATTATTTTACCTTGATATCCCACTTGTTGTTGGGAAATTTCTAATTCGTGAGATTTTAGAATCTGATTAAATGGCGACTGAGTTATAAATTGGTATATTAACCCCGTGCTTGACTAATAAGCTCTGAGAAGCTGTCGAGCTATTGTTTGGTAACCTTTTATTCGCTCGTTTCAGGAATTGATCCTGCAGTTGATTTTCACGAGGAAGAAATACTATGAGGTTAATCTTTCTGTTGGGAACATGGAAGGAGCTAATGAGGATCATGTGAGGATCGTGTAGCTTCGATTACCACGTGTGTTTATTAAATTTACACGAGGTATAATTTTTCTTTTGCACTCTTTTGGCATTCTCGTCTTGGGTATATGAATTAGGCTTTTGGAAAATTGACTAATTCCATGAATCAGGAAATAAAAATTCCTGTGAATAGCTCGTAACTTCAATTTCGAAGAATATTTTACGAATCCTGGATAATATCAGTATTATAATATTCCAATTTTCATGTACTGTTTATCTTCGTTAGAACTTTGAAATTCCTCTCATAATGATTCACCTAATCAACTAAGAAACCATAAAACAATCGATTCCCAATAAAATACAAACTTTATGTTAAACTATAGCACACGAGAGGAAAAGCTATTTAAAATAAACAACTACCTTGATGACCAATAACAACAAATTTGAAAATAAAAATGAGAGAAACGCGTGGATAAATTATATTTCAAAAATAGTATTAAAGCACTGTGTAAAAATGGATAAAACGAAGATCAGGAAAAAAGTATCACGTGGAAAGATATGGCGTATATTTTCCCTAAACGATTTTATCGTCTCGTCGAACGAAGATTCTGAATAAATTAACCCTTTACACTGGACGACTTTTGGCTAGAGAAGAGTAGAAATTCAAAGATTACGATACATTTTTGAGCAGTAAATAAAGAATTGTAGAATTATTTGACTTCGATATCTCGCACACTATTATATTAAATTTGATATATTAATTAATATCGATCTTCCAAATTTTATCTAACGGTGACTGAAACTGACCTCTCGAGTGCAAAGGGTTAAAAATCCTGCTCCTTGCACCCTCGATTTCCACCCCTCGTCGCATATTCACGGTGATCACCGCGTTGAATCACGTCTGGAGAACAACGAAACCGACAGAGACTCGAATTACGTCTGTTCCTGCTGGTCGCGAAGCGGATCACGCGAGTGTGCGCTGGTTTCTTAGTTGCAAACCGTTAA